TTTTGCAGAAGGTATGCACCAACATGCGACCACGTCAGTTCTTTGTAGTCGCAGCAGCCATATATACCCACAAACCCGAGATTTGACTTCAGATCTTTGAAAGGCTCGCCTTCAATCTTTGCAAGGCTCGCCTGCAGAGACTTGCGCCATGAGCGCCGCTAGCGAAGTGCCTGCTACTGCCACTGCAGAAGCTCTCCCCGAATCTGCGGCCAGTGAAGCTACCGAAGCGGCTTCTCCAGCTGAGACGGCAACATCTTGTGCAGAAACGCCTAGTGGCGTAGTTCCTCTGGACAAGGTGGAGACCGGCCCTGGACTTCCAGCAGAAAATTTGTGTTCCACCTGCAGGAAGCCTGTCTCTGAGGAGAATGGTGTGGTTGTGGCACGGGCAGTGGGGAAGACAGCTACTTCTTTGCGCTGCAGGGCATGCCACAATTTAAAAAGTAGGATCGACCGGGTGTTGAGCCACTATGGCTCATTGGCCCAGGATTGGACGAAGGTGACTGAAAATGAGAAGAAAGAATTTTACAAGAAGTACAAGGAGCAGGCGGGACCGGACCTTCTGACCAGGCTCCAGGAGACAGTGACGGAAAGCAAGAAGACCAGCAGCGCCGTCTCCTTCGAGGGCACCGGCGATTTCCTGGACGAGATAGATTTGGAGGAGAAGTACAAGAACAAGCCAGATCAATTGGCCGCTAGTAAGGCCAACACCCGGACCTACTTCTGTCCAGTTCGACAGGTGCAGCTTTTCGAGGATGTGAAATATAAGCGCACGGCTGTGGAGACCGAGGAGTACGCGAAGGTGCAGAAACGCAAGAGGCAATCAATTCCGCTTGAACAAGGTGAACGTGATGAGACGGCTGCAGATTCGAGCCAGTGCAAGAAGGGCAAGAAAGAAGCAGCCAAAAGTGAGCTGCCGAAGTTGAAGGCTGGAGGCAAGAAAAAGATTTCCAAGAAAGTGGAACTGATGAACGCAAAGAAGCTGCAGCTGATGGATTGGAACTGCAAAGCGCGTGGTGATAAAGTCAAAGACTTGGTGCCTGGCTATGTCGTGAAGGCTTCCACAAAGCTGGTGGATGACGCTGTGGCCTTTGGGGTTGAATGCGACAGCATTCTTGAAAGTGGCCATGGCGACGCAGATGAGGTCATCAAGAAGGCAGACTCTTTCATGGAGCAGCTGACAGAGATGATGGGCCGCGTCAAGTGCCAAGTGGATCAGGCGCATGCTTTTGTTGCCACTGGTGCGAGCGGCCAGGAGTGAGGCTCGCCCGCTCAACTTCCAGAGGCTCGCCCTGAAGGCGGCAAATTTTGACAGCACGGGGATTCCTTATGAGGAGAAAGGAAAATATCCCGTTCTTTTTGTTTGCAGAAAAAAAATCAAAAAACGAAACATTTTGGGCCGTATCGGGGCCGTATCGGGGCCGTATCGGGGCCGTATCGGGGCCGTATCGGGATGACTTTGGATACCCGGCCTTATTGGGACCATTCTCTTTCAAAAAATGAAATGTGAAAGTCACGGTTTTTTGGTGGCGCTCCGCGTGTGCAACTTCCACTGTGTATGAATTTGGGAATGGGCAAAATCACACGAGCTCAAAGGCCAGCCTTTGAAGCGTGACAAAAATATAAGTGCAAGCCGTAAAGAACACAAAAAGCGTCCAACACCCGGCCAAACACGTACTCCTCAGCGCGCACTTGGCTCACAAAGTCTCTGTGAAAGGCTCGCCTTCACCCATGGAAAGAAACGCTCCTGCACGCACGACTCAGACTGAGATGGCTGGAGGTCCCCCCCAGCTAGGTGGAGGCTCGCCCCAGCTGCAGACATGCGACGGCTCGCCCCAAAGAAAGCGAAGGAGCGGAGGTGAAGAAGCGCCGCGCAAGCAGCCACGCAGCTCCAAAGATTTATCCCCTGTTTCAATGGGCGCTGAAACTTTGACCCTCGACTTTTGGGAAGACAGAGACATAGAGGTGGGCGAGGACACCCAGCAATTCCCTGAGAATCCATCGATCGACTATGAGCTTGCATACACAGACTGGATGTTGTCCCAGTTGTCTGAAAAGGATGGCACGTGCAAGTGCAAATGGGTAACCCATGGCACTCGCTGGCATCGATGGGTTTGCTTTCTCTGCAAATATCCGGGCCCCCAATGAGGCGCTTTCCTCCAGAGCCCCCCCGAAACGCACGAGCCATGAACGGCGGCAGTTAGTTTAATTAAACCGTGAGGCTTGCCCACGTGATGCGCAGTGCAATCTAGTATATGATGCAATTTTTGCAAGAAAGAGAAAAATGAACAATCTGCTTTTCTTTGGGCTTACAAGGCTTTTTCCAGCTTGTCAGCTTTGGCGCATGTCAACAGGTCTACTTTCCCAACCACAATGTGCATTTTGACAAATGCAACAGCAGGAAAATAGCTGAAGCATCTGTTTTTCTTTGGCCCACATCTGCACACATACTTACAAACACCACAGTGTATATACCCAGCAAGCACGGCTCAAGAAAGCATTAGCTGTTTTGGTTTGAAGATGGGGTCGGAGGTTTTAGTTCCCGAACCCAATGACTGGAAAACAGAATTTCCACAGCTGAGGCTCGCCCAGCCAATCCACATAGCAATGCCATGCTGCGGAATAGACGGTGCTGGTTGGTCACTCCGAGCTATGGGGGTGCCCTTTACACCAAACAACGTATACGACCTGGAGACGCGATACAAGGAGTACTGGCAGGGCATGGTTGAAGAAGGCTCGCCTCTTCATTTCGGAAAGCACAATGGTGACATTGTCCAGGTCCAGCTGTCGGACTTGGAGCGCCCAGTGCATGTGCTTTGCAGGGGCCCGCCATGCCCGCCTTGGGCAGGAAATGGCAACAAGAAAGGTGTGGAAGACTTCCGAGCAAAAGCTTTTCTGGCTATTGTGAATATAGTGGCTTCGCTAGCCAAGTGTGGTGAGCTGCAAGCAGCGATCTTGGAAAATGTCCAAGGCATTTTACACCGCCAAGGTGGCGAAGAAAGTTTCATGTCAAAGCTTCTGCACATTTTGCAAGAAGAAGTGCAGGAATTTCTCTGGCAGGTGGACACCCTCAAGGCGGTGGACTACAAGCTAGCGCAGGACAGAACGCGTGTGTTCTTGCGTGGGATCCGGAGCACGTTGTGCCCAAGCGGGGCGGTGCCACCTCCACTACCCCCATTTGGCCACAGAGTGTTGACAGACTTTCTGGCGTCAATGCCTTGTGTGGACCGTAAGAAGCTCACAAAGTGCATGGCCCAAAACTTGAAAGACAGCCAAGAACAACTGCGGAAACTTTTGCAGGAAGGTCGCCTCGTAGAGACAGACGTTGTCTGCTTCCCACTGGACCGCGCAGATGGCAAAACATACAAGCGGCATATCAGCGTCAATCGTACACCAACATTGACCACCTCGAATTCATACCTGTTTGTGTCAGACATGAAGGTGGGCCTCCCAGATCAGAAACGGACACACTTCCGTTTCTTGCATCCGCATGAGCGGTTTGTTTTGCAAGGTTTCAACGTGGAAGTCGCCGAACAATTCGCTTCCAGCCAAGCCTTACAAGTCAAGGCAGCAGGAAATGCCTATCCAGTGCCACTCATTGGAGCAGCAATGGCCCCATTGCTGGCTGCCTTCGGTGAGCTGCCCCAGAAAGGAGAAAGGGAGCTGGAGTTCCCCACGCGTTTCCATGAGCGTTTGGCTGACGCCATGTACGGTGCTGGGAAGAAAAGCAAACCAAAGAAGGCAGGACATAAGGTGCTCAAACGACCGGCTGCACACCAATCATCAGACAAACCTGCAGACGAAAAATTGGACAAAACCCATCCTGGGCCCCATGACAAGGAGCAACATGACGGTGATGGGGCACAGCCTTTGGGTGAAGAACGTGCGGGGCCTTCCACCAAGAAGCGACCTGCCAGCACGGCAAGCATCGGAAGGCCCTGTCAGAAACCAAGACTCCCTGCCGCATGGCGCCTGCGTGGCTTTCTTTCTTCCTCAAGCTCTGACTCCGGCTGAATGTGCAAGGCTCGCCTGCACCATCATACCAGTTTTGAAGCAAGGCTCGCCTGCTGCGATGCGTAACCACGACGGATCCACAACTTGCGCTAAAAACAATAACTTGCAAGTGTTACCGCCCAGAAGCCCGTTGCACTCTCACAGGTGGGCAAAGATTGCATGAGTTTATTTCCTCTTCCACGCTGGTTCAAGCTGACCACGGGTTGCTGCGAGGCTTGCCCGCAGAAACATTGAGAGCGAAGCTTTTGCTTGTGATTGTAGGGAAAAACCACATGGCTGAAGCCCGCTTTGATGGGATGCTTGACTACTTCGCTGCTCTCCAAAAGAGCTGCGGGGGGTTCCTTGAAAAGGACGCCTTAGACCCCCTGTTGAAAAGCTGCATGCTGGATATTGAACGCGCCCCGCCCATAACCATAGAAGCAGGGGCCAGCATGCTTAGAAAGCTTGAGAAAGCTACCGTGCCCCAGGCATGGCGTGAAGCTTTAGTGAAACTGGTGCAAGCCAAGGTTCAGACAGGCGCAGAGAACAGCTGCAACGAAGGGAATAAGAAGAACAAGGAAAAACCAAGGCAGACATGTCTGCACTTGGACAACTATTTCTTGAAGAAGGACTGGGAAAAACTGGCTTCGGATGGGTTGACTGACAAGGTCAACTTGGCAGCGCAAAGAATGGCAGCCCTGGGTTTGCTGAACCCAACAGAGCCGACTGTGGTGCATGCAGTCGCAATTCTGTATTTGACGTCGCACAAAGGGACCCTGGAAGAACTTAACATCACCGGCGTCCATGCTTTGAATACGGTGCGGGATTTGAAATCTGTGCTCAGAGGATTGAAAGGCTTTACGCAGTCTGGGATCACCAACTACCCAATGGATCCTGCAGAATTGCCCGGCCCCATATTCATGAAAGCGTTTGGACAAGAAAAGCCAGAGCCAAGCCGTCTGGATCCTCACGCGCTTGGATGGTTACAAGTTGTGCTACCTGCAAGGGACACGCACACATCAGTGCGAGGTGCCTGGGGAAAGCGAACCTCGCGACTACGCACTGGCAACAACTTCCAGGAGATGCTCATGAATGCCATGAGCAACCCTGACATGGCAGCAGCTTTCGCCAGCATGATGAGAAACAATTCTGGAGTGCAGCTGAACATGACACGCCGGAAGCAGTTGATGCCAAGCGCTGCCTCTGCACAGGTGGAACCACTCATGTTGGCAAACGGGCCAGCTGCTTCTCACAACTTGGCAGGCAAGCAAGACCCAAAGGATGAAGTCGACCTCGAGACATCGCTTCCAAGTAATGAAGAACCTAGCATCAAGGCTCGTCCTGGTGCAAAAGAAATCAGCAAGGCTCGTCCTGCTGTAAGTGAAACCAGCAAAGCTCGGCCTGCTGCAGGCGAACCCTGCGAAGCTCTGCCTGCAAAGGACAGCAAGGAATTGCCTCCGCTGGAACCCAAAAGCGTAGATGCCATGGCGAATGACATCTTGGCAGCCATTGGCGGCCAAAAAGAAAGAAGACCGCTGCTGAAGAGACCACCGAGGGCGATGACGTGCCCATGCCGAAGGTAAAAGCCAAAAGCAAACCAAAGGGAAAGGCCAAAGCCACAGCAAAGAAAACATCTGCTGTGGCCAAGGCCAAGAGTACGCCTCCCAAGACCAAGAATGCTGCGCCCAAAGCAAGCCCGAAGAAAAAGAAAGAGGTCTTGCCATTCCCTGGGACAGCTGCACATGAGCCCGTTCGCCACAAGAACGCTACAGTTTACATATGCCCCAAGTCGACCAACTACAGGGTCAAACTTGATGGTGAGAAGAAGGACAAGGCCTTCAGCTGGAAACGCCAGGATGCGAAGGAGGCATGGGTGCAGGTGAAGGAATACATCCTGAACTTGGAGTGAAGGCTCGCCTCACCAACTTGGTGGAGGCTCGCCCCACCATGGCTGAATCTGTCACCCAGTTGACGGAAGCTATGCCCACCTATCGCCTGAAGAGAGGGCTTGTTTCACAAAGCACAGCCCGCAAAGTCCAAAATTTGCATCCTGATATTTGGCCTGCTTCTTTTTGGAGACGGGTTGTTCCTGTTTTTTTGCTGCTGCATTGAAAATTTGAGTGGTCCTTTTTGTGTTTTTTGCAACCTCCGGTGTGTTTTTCAATATGTCCTTTGGCCTGAATGTTGCCCCCTCGTGCGTGTTTTTTTGGAATCCCTCGTGGCCTTTTTGTGGGACCCTCGTGGCCATTTTCCTGATCACGAGGATTTGCTGAGCTAAGTGGTTATAACTCCCGCTAATTAGTTAGCTGCGAGGACCCTGCAAATTGTTTGTAAATGGTTATAACCTTCGTTATAAAACAGCTAAACGCAAAAAGCGCCAAAGCATGGGACCTGTTTCTGTTGGGCTTCGAAACTGCTATCTGGCACTTCCGAAGCGCCACAAACTGTTTCTATTGGGCTTCGAAACTGCTATCTGGCACGTTTTCAGCACCCCTTAAAACCATCAAAACCCTCAAAACCTTCGCAGCAGCTTTCGACGGCCTTTCGCTGCTTTGCCATGGGTCCTCCCGAGGCCCCACAAGCTCTTTCTGTTGGGCTTCGAAACTGCTATCTGGCACTTCCGAAGCGCCACAAACTGTTTCTATTGGGCTTCGAAACTGCTATCTGGCACGTTTTCAGCACCCCTTAAAACCATCAAAACCCTCAAAACCTTCGCAGCAGCTTTCGACGGCCTTTCGCTGCTTTGCCATGGGTCCTCCCGAGGCCGAGGCCGCACAAGCTGTTTCTGTTGGGCTTCGAAACTGCTATCTGGCACTTCCGAGGCGCCGCAAGCTGTTTCTATTAGGCTTCGAAACTGCTATCTGGCACGTTTTTCAGCACCCCTTAAAACCCACAAGCTCTTCGCTGCTTTGCCATGGGACCTCCCGAAGCCTCACGAGCTGTTTCTGTTGGGCTTCGAAACTGCTATCTGGCACTTCCGAAGCGCCACAAGCTGTTTCTATTGGGCTTCGCAACCGCTATCTGGCACGTGTTCAGCTCCCATTAAAACTCTCAAAACCGTCAAAACCCTCGCAGCAGCTTTCGACGGCCTTTCGCTGCTTTGCTATGGACCTGTTTCTGTTGGGCTTCGAAACTGCTATCTGGCACTTCCGAAGCGCCACAAGCTGTTTCTATTGGGCTTCGAAACTGCTATCTGGCACGTGTTCAGCACCCCTTAGAACCTTCAAAACCCTCAAAAGCTTCCGACGGCCTTTCGCTGCTTTGCCATGGGACCTCCCGAGGCCGCACGAGCTGTTTCTGTTGGGCTTCGAAACTGCTATCTGGCACTTCCGAAGCGCCACAAGCTGCTTCTATAGTGGGCTTCGAAACTGCTATCTGGCACGTTTTCAGCTTAAAACCCTCAAAGGCTTCAAAACCCTCGCAGCAGCTTTGACGGCCTTTCGCTGCTTTGCCATGGAGCTGTTTCTGTTGGGATTCGAAACTGCTATCTGGCACTTCCGAGGCGCCACAAGCTGTTTCTATGGCAGGTTTTCAGCACCCCTTAAAACCGTCAAAACCCTCAAAACCCTCCCAGCAGCTTTCGACGGCCTTTCGCTGCTTTGACATGGGCCAAGGGACCTCCCGAAGCCCCACGAGCTGTTTCTGTTGGGCTTCGAAACTGCTATCTGGCACTTCCGAAGCGCCACAAACTGCTTCTATTGGGCTTCGAAACTGCTAGCTGGCACGTTTTCAGCACCCCTTAAAACCCACAAAACCTTCAAAACCTTCGCAGCAGCTTTCGACGGCCTTTCGCTGCTTTGCCATGGGTCCTCCCACGAGCTGTTTCTGTTGGGCTTCGAAACTGCTATCTGGCACTTCCGAAGCGCCACAAACTGTTTCTATTGGGCTTCGAAACTGCTATCTGGCACGTTTTCAGCACCCCTTAAAACCATCAAAACCCTCAAAACCTTCGCAGCAGCTTTCGACGGCCTTTCGCTGCTTTGCCATGGGTCCTCCCGAGGCCCCACAAGCTCTTTCTGTTGGGCTTCGAAACTGCTATCTGGCACTTCCGAAGCGCCACAAGCTGTTTCTATTAGGCTTTGAAACTGCTATCTGGCACGTTTTCAGCAGTCCTTAAAACCCTCAAAAGCTTCAAATTCTCCAGCAGCTTTCGCCGGCCTTTGCTTTGCCATGGGTCCTCCCGAGGCCGAGGCCGCACAAGCTGTTTCTGTTGGGCTTCGAAACTGCTATCTGGCACTTCCGAGGCGCCGCAAGCTGTTTCTATTAGGCTTCGAAACTGCTATCTGGCACGTTTTTCAGCACCCCTTAAAACCCACAAGCTCTTCGCTGCTTTGCCATGGGACCTCCCGAAGCCTCACGAGCTGTTTCTGTTGGGCTTCGAAACTGCTATCTGGCACTTCCGAAGCGCCACAAGCTGTTTCTATTGGGCTTCGCAACCGCTATCTGGCACGTGTTCAGCTCCCATTAAAACTCTCAAAACCGTCAAAACCCTCGCAGCAGCTTTCGACGGCCTTTCGCTGCTTTGCTATGGACCTGTTTCTGTTGGGCTTCGAAACTGCTATCTGGCACTTCCGAAGCGCCACAAGCTGTTTCTATTGGGCTTCGAAACTGCTATCTGGCACGTGTTCAGCACCCCTTAAAACCTTCAAAACCCTCAAAAGCTTCCGACGGCCTTTCGCTGCTTTGCCATGGGACCTCCCGAGGCCGCACGAGCTGTTTCTGTTGGGCTTCGAAACTGCTATCTGGCACTTCCGAAGCGCCACAAGCTGCTTCTATAGTGGGCTTCGAAACTGCTATCTGGCACGTTTTCAGCTTAAAACCCTCAAAGGCTTCAAAACCCTCGCAGCAGCTTTGACGGCCTTTCGCTGCTTTGCCATGGAGCTGTTTCTGTTGGGATTCGAAACTGCTATCTGGCACTTCCGAGGCGCCACAAGCTGTTTCTATGGCAGGTTTTCAGCACCCCTTAAAACCGTCAAAACCCTCAAAACCCTCCCAGCAGCTTTCGACGGCCTTTCGCTGCTTTGACATGGGCCAAGGGACCTCCCGAAGCCCCACGAGCTGTTTCTGTTGGGCTTCGAAACTGCTATCTGGCACTTCCGAAGCGCCACAAACTGCTTCTATTGGGCTTCGAAACTGCTAGCTGGCACGTTTTCAGCACCCCTTAAAACCCACAAAACCTTCAAAACCTTCGCAGCAGCTTTCGACGGCCTTTCGCTGCTTTGCCATGGGTCCTCCCACGAGCTGTTTCTGTTGGGCTTCGAAACTGCTATCTGGCACTTCCGAAGCGCCACAAGCTGTTTCTAGTGGGCTTCGAAACTGCTAGCTGGCACGTTTTCAGCTTAAAACCCTCAAAGGCCTCAAAACCTTCGCAGCAGCTTTCGGTTTCTATTGGGCTTCGAAACTGCTATCTGGCACGTTTTTCAGCACCTCTTAAAACCCTCCCAGCAGCTTTCGACGGCCTTTCGCTGCTTTGGTATGGGTCTTCCCGAGGCCCCACGAGCTGTTTCTGTTGGGCTTCGAAACTGCTATCTGGCACTTCCGAAGCGCCACAAGCTGTTTCTATTGGGCTTCGCAACTGCTATCTGGCACGTGTTCAGCTCCCATTAAAACTCTCAAAACCGTCAAAACCCTCGCAGCAGCTTTCGACGGCCTTTCGCTGCTTTGCCATGGAGCTGTTTCTGTTGGGCTTCGAAACTGCTATCTGGCACTTCCGAAGCGCCACAAACTGTTTCTATTGGGCTTCGAAACTGCTATCTGGCACGTTTTCAGCACCCCTTAAAACCATCAAAACCCTGCAAAACCCTCGCAGCAGCTTTCGACGGCCTTTCGCTGCTTTGCCATGGGTCCTCCCGAGGCCCCACAAGCTCTTTCTGTTGGGCTTTGAAACTGCTATCTGGCACTTCCGAAGCGCCACAAGCTGTTTCTATTAGGCTTCGAAACTGCTATCTGGCACGTTTTCAGCATTCCTTAAAACCATCAAAAGCTTCACCCTCAAAACCCTCAAAACCCTCCCAGCAGCTGTCGACGGCCTTTCGCTGCTTTGCCATGGGACAAGGGACCTCCCGAAGCCCCACGAGCTGTTTCTGTTGGGCTTCGAAACTGCTATCTGGCACTTCCGAAGCGCCACAAACTGTTTCTATTGGGCTTCGAAACTGCTAGCTGGCACGTTTTCAGCACCCCTTAAAACCGTCAAAACCCTCAAAACCCTCGCAGCAGCTTTCGCCGAAGCGCCGCAAGCTGTTTCTATTGGGCTTCGAAACTGCTATCTGGCACGTTTCCAGCACCCCTTAAAACCCACAAAACCTTCAAAACCTTCGCAGCAGCTTTCGACGGCCTTTCGCTGCTTTGCCATGGGTCCTCCCACGAGCTGTTTCTGTTGGGCTTCGAAACTGCTATCTGGCACTTCCGAAGCGCCACAAGCTGTTTCTAGTGGACTTCGAAACTGCTAGCTGGCACGTTTTCAGCTTAAAACCCTCAAAGGCCTCAAAACCTTCGCAGCAGCTTTCGGTTTCTATTGGGCTTCGAAACTGCTATCTGGCACGCTTTTCAGCACCCCTTAAAACCGGCAAAACCCTCAAAACCCTCCCAGCAGATTTCGACGGCCTTTCGTTGCTTTGCCATGGGACCTCCCGAGGCCCCGCGAGCTGCTTCTGTTGGGCTTCTGGCACTTCCGAAGCGCCACAGGCTGTTTCTATTGGGCTTCGAAACTGCTATCTGGCACATTTTCAGCACCCCTTAAAACCTTCAAAACCCTGCAAAACCCTCGCACGCGCTTTCGACGGCCTTTCGCTGCTTTGCCATGGGTCCTCCCGAGGCCCCAGGAGCTGTTTCTGTTGGGCTTCGAAACTGCTATCTGGCACTTCCGAAGCGCCACAAGCTGCTATTGGGCTTCGAAACTGCTATCTGGCA